TTACCCCGATATCTTAATTTGTTTGTGAAATGTGACCGTTTAAAAAAATGCAACATTCTTAATTTTTTTATTCAGTTTTAGCGGAGTAATACATAATTTTATAAACAACTCAAACAACAAATAAACTAATAATTATTACAAATTAATAACGGGGGTTTTTCCCCACGAGCGCGAATAACTGCCTCAATGCATCATGGCATACCCTCTATTAGATATCGAATCTTCATCTGGTCAATCTGATCCCATTCTTGGACCAAAGCATCTCTCAAAAAATTTAAAATACTTGGAGAAGGAACTCGGTTATGAACTCGTCTGCCCATCATGTCCCAGACGTGCTCAATTGGATTGAGGTCTGGGCTACGTGATGGCCAGTTCATCCTATGAATTTCTGTTTCGTCCAAATATTGAGATACAATCCTCGCAATATGTGGTCGAGCGTTGTCATGCATAAACATGAATTCATTTGCTATAAATGGTGCAAATGGAATTACATATGGATCTAGCACATCACGAATATATCGGTAAGCTGTCATTGCTCCGCCGCCAACAATGACTAAATCAGTACGAGGTTCCATGCTTATGCCGCCCCAAACCATTACCGATCCTCCTTCATAACTGAGTCTTGTGGAAAAATTTGCTTGGTCAAACCTTTCGCCTCTTCTTCGGTATATTCTTTCACAGCTATCAGGAGAACACGTAAACAAAACCTTGACTCGTCAGAAAATAAAATCTTACTCCATTCATCGATATTCCAATGTTGATGCTCCCTGGCAAATCGAAGACGTGCTGTTCTGTGATTCCTAAGTAACTCTGGAGCAGTTGCAGGTCTTCTGGAGCGTAATCCATGTTCTCGTAATCGCCTTCGAATCGTTATTTCGTTAACAGCTACTTGACGTACTTCTTCTAAACGATTTCGAGCCATGACAGCAGTAGTATTTCTTTCTCGCAAAACATTTAATGTTATAAAACGATCATCTCGAACATTTGTAGAACGTCGCACGGTGGCGCGGAACGCCACTGTGCCACCCAAATTACTCTACGACTCACAGGATTGATCCGTTTTAGACGTGCGTCACCTTAAAATGTTCGTCTTGAGTTTGCCTATCGACCCTTGTTCCGGGATTTTTGATTTCGAATTTTATTTTTCTGTAATTTGTGTCCAAAAATTTACTTTCATGGAAAAATGGCGATTTTGGGTGCAAAAGTCATCCTAGCGAACGCAACATTGAGTCTTTACAAAACTTTTTTGAAGGAAACTCTTCCTCTTGACAACCCCTACAACCCTGTGTACGTCAAATTGCGAGAGAAAAACGGCGAAAATTACACATTTTTGGATATTTTTTACGAGAAACTCATCCTATCACCTAAGGAATATGTCCGAATGTTTGCAGAATTTTTGGAAAATTTCTGAAATTTTGGAATTTGGCGATTTCCTGGCCAAATTATATGGCCAAAAATATCCTCAAACATTCTGAGAAAATTTGTACGTATTGCTGGATTGATTATAAACACTTTTTATTGAAAAAAATTTAGATTTTTGTTCCAATAGATTTTTGATGAACAATTTCCTTTCGCATCAATAGTTTTGGATCACTATGGTCGTTTTTAGGCATGACGGTCAATTTCTCTCGCAATTTGACGTACACAGGGTTGTAGGGGTTGTCAAGAGGAAGAGTTTCCTTCGAAAAAGTTTTGTAAAAACTCAATGTTCCGTTCGCTAGGATGACTTTTGCACCCAAAATCGCCATTTTTCCATGAAAGTAAATTTTTGGACACAAATTACAGAAAAATAAAATTCGAAATCAAAAATCCCGGAACAAGGGTCGATAGTCAAACTCAAGACGAACATTTTAAGGTGACGCACGTCTAAAACGGATCAATCCTGTGAGTCGTAGAGTAATTTGGGGTCCACAGTGGCGCTCCGCGCCACTGTGCGTCGTCTACCAGATTCTCTTCGTCTCGAAAAACTACCAGTTTCATTAAAACCTTGTACAACTCTCTGGACGCTACACCTTGTAACACCCAATATTCTAGAAGTATAATACTGAGTCCTACCGTCTTGTACCAGAGCAACTGCTCATGTTGCATCAGTAAGCGTTAAAACCATGATATTATGCTGATAATGAATAATAATTAAACTGCAATTGCCAAGTAACGAATATTTGACAGTTGTCATATTGTGAGTTGGCCACAGCACTCTACTTATTTTGTAGTTTATTCTGTACCGTCATTTAAATTATGATATTATAAATGTAGCATTTTCTTTAAACCGTCACATTTCACAAAAAATTAAGATATCGGGGTAAATAAAAAAAAAAGTGTTGGTAACAAATCAGTCTTCTTGATAAAGTTAATTGTATGATTGTATGCAGATCTACTAGCAGAATTAACCTACAGGGTGTGTCAAAAGTAGAGGAAAAAATTGTTTTCTTTCCCCCCTCCCCCGTATATCCGGCGAGTACTAAATTACTTTTAGATGTCCGAATAATAATCTTAAAACTACAGTATTTTATCTAAAAAGTTGCTAAAAACTTTAGGTCGGTGAATGTATTTTACTACAAACATTTTTAACTTCAAATTATTACTTTTGAGTTACACAAAAAAGTACATTTCTGAATTAGTTAAGTTCGTTTCCATATTTAAAGAGACCAGAAAAAACTAAAATTAGTCATGTTATTGTACAATGATTTTACTGCTAAAATATAACGTTTAAATTTTTATTTTTGAGCATTTTGGAGATAAAAAGTGAAACTAAAGGGGTTTTCAAGTAACTTCAATACGTTATAATGAGGATAATTTAATTCCAACTGAATTTTTCAAAGCTATATATTATGTTGGAACTTTTATATATCTGTGCCTATCAGTACCTACTAAAAGCGATGCTTTGAATCAATTTTGCCTAGAATCTAGCGGTTATGATGTTGGTACGGCTTGCAGTGATTAATTAAAAAGTAATGATTATATTTGGTCATAAATATGGACTTGTAAGTACATTTTATTGTAGTGTACACGCATAACATGTAACTTTTAAAAATATGCTTAGTTTAAAAATATTATAAAAACAGTTAATTTTAGTAATAAAATCATCTAGTAAAAATTAAAAGCATATAATTATTTTTTTGTGCTTTTTCCAAATATGTATACAAATTTAACGACTTGTAGTGTGTTCTTATAAGGATAGACAAATTTTTAAATTTTTTTGAAAAGATGGAACTGCATTTTGTTTCTTATTAATACGTTAATAGATTATGGTAAGTTGTAGAGAATACATGTGCCAAATTTCCATAATATGTAAGGGTGGTTAGTAAGTTATGAAACAAAAAAGAAATTGGCAAAGTTAATAAAACTACCTGTATCTCGGTTATAAATGACGAAAGAATCATTAAGTAAGGTTATTTGGAATAATATCAGTAGCATAAAAAACTAAGTATTAAAAAAAAGAGTGAAGTAAAACTTCGTAGAATAATTCACTCTAAAATAAAAAAAGACAAATAAAATCCGCGTACATCAATATTTATCGCTACTTGAACATACTATTAAGGTTATAACTCTAAACAGCAAGGCACCGACGATGCACGAAAGACGATCGTTTGCAGTCGAAATTGGAGTTCAAGTGAAGGACTAGGCTGTTAAGGTGTCAGGAAATCTAAATTTGTCGTTTTTATAAGTTAGCTCATCATATTTTTTATGTTAGGTCGAACCGTAAGAAGTGCTAATTATTTATTTTAATCTATGTTATAATTTATTTAATTTTTTTAATAACTTTGATTTAAATTGATTTACATTGATTTAAATTGATTTAAATTGATTTAAATTGATTTAAATCGATTTAAATTGATTTAAATTGATTTAAATTGATTTAAATTGATTTAAATTGATTTAAATCGATTTAAATTGATTTAAATTGATTTAAATTGATTTAAATTGATTTAAATTGATTTAAATTGATTTAAATTGATTTAAATTGATTTAAATTGATTTAAATTGATTTAAATTGATTTAAATTGATTTAAATTGATTTAAATTGATTTAAATTGATTTAAATTGATTTAAATTGATTTAAATTGATTTAAATTGATTTAAATTGATTTAAATTGATTTAAATTGATTTAAATTGATTTAAATTGATTTAAATTGATTTAAATTGATTTAAATTGATTTAAATTGATTTAAATTGATTTAAATTGATTTAAATTGATTTAAATTGATTTAAATTGATTTAAATTGATTTAAATTGATTTAAATTGATTTAAATAAATTTATTTTAATTTAATTTCGTGTGATTTCTTTTAATATAAATTAGTCATCGTTCACTCACCCATTGTTGATACACCTTGTATCAATATAGATGCATATAATATATATTTATTAAATAGTCACAGAGAGTGAATGCATTTAAGAAACTTGTTGGCTTCATGCGAAACCCAAGAAAAAATTTTGGCAGCTTATGTGTTAACATAAAATAGATCTTAAAATGAAAATCCAAATATATCTAAAATAAATTTTTTGGATGTCACATAACCTAGTGTGTAAAGTTCTAATATACTCTATGGTGGATGTCAGATAGTCGGGTGAGTAAGTTTTAATATACTGAATGTTGGATGTCAGACAGTCGAGTGAGTAAATTCTAATATACTTAATGGTGGATGTTATACAGTCGAGGGACTGAAATATTTAATATACAAAATATACAAAACCAACTGTCGCGAGCGCCACCTTCGCATCTATACACTGGAACTAAATATATACATAAAATTGAAAATTAAGCATTATGACATCCAGCTGAAATTTTTTTGGCGCCCTTTTAAACCTTCTTTATGATGTTTGAACCCCAAAAACGTTGTGACATCCGAATTTGGATGTCACATCGCAGACGGATGTTATAAAGATAGCAACATTTTTGCGACATGATGTCACAACGTCGGCAGGACGAATCTATATATATATATATATATATATATATATATATATATATATATATATATATATATATATATATATATATATATATATATATATAAATTAGAATAGTATTGTTTTAAAATAAATAAGTGTTCAAATAAATTATTTACAAATAAACTGTTATTTAAAATAAACAAACGCTACAGTTTTAAGTGTGATAATGAGATTCTTTCCTTCTCGAATCGTTTCCTGGAAACGGTTTCCTATATTTCCTTACGCCATCTTGCTTTCCCAAATATTATTTCTTGTTGCTGGTACGTTTACTCGTAGTGTGACCGTTATCCTACCCAAACTGAGTAGCTCCTTCATACTAAACCGTTCCCCTTATACTCGCCTAGGGTATCTTGTCACCTGCATTTATACCGTTTTAGTTGTTCACTCCTTCAGTACCTCTGAACTTTTTTACAGGAATCAGGAGTCTACAACTCCACTTTCCAACCGAGATCTGTTTACATATTGAAAATCTTCCTACCTTAATCCCTATTTTCTTTTAATGTCTTCCTTTCTCCTTTATATACTTCCCTCCTTTTCCTATCCTCGACGTCGAGATGTATTGATTTTCAAATCTTCTTTTTTATTACATATTTATAAGGTAGGCGTTCATCTCTTACTATTACAAGCGTCTATTTAGATAATTTTATTGTTTGTAAGCCTGCTGATGGCGAATTAGTCAAAACTGGTTGTCATTTCACTTTTAAGTTTTATGTATATGATTTTGTGTATTATTTTGATATTTAAAAAATCCAGATCAAAACGGTTTTTTGCCTTTTCCTCAAAACTTAACTTTTGCTAAATCTACTTACAATTTGTTTTTCATTGAAAAATTTGCGTAATGTTTGGCTTCAGTCACTCATTTTTACAATCTACCTACTTAAGGTAATGACAATTTATTTAATATCAAGTCCATCTAAAGCAAAAAATGAAAAGTATAATTGGACTAGAATTATTGGAATTTTCACTGGAATTGCTGCATTTTTTATTGGAATTGTTGGCATTTTTTGGAAATGTTGAAATTGGTGTAAACAATTTTGAAACTCGGTTGACCCCTCAGATGAACTAGAACTACATGGCTACTTAACACTTTCACTGCCCAGCTCTCTAATCCTGCCCATGTGTGGTGCCCACCATACTTTTATTTTTAAAAATACAGATGTAGTTTAACTTACTCTACTTTTTGGATGGAAATAGTTTTACTTTAATAGAATTTGGTAAACTGGTAAAATGGGAGAACTGTAAGGGAACATTTCAAATTGCAAATGATACACTGATATAAATTTGCTGCCACTAAAGGGTTCAGAATTAATTCAGCTTCTACTATTTCAAAATGAGATGCTAAAGAAGGCAGCAGAGCACCTAGGGAATTTCGAGTTGTAACCAATGCCATATTTTTAGGCTATTTTAAGACTTTTTATACTCTATTTAAAAATGTTGTGCTCATTTGTTTTGCTAAAATCAAAGTGCTCTGCTAGCTTCGAACGAAGTCAGCAGAGCACTTCAGTATTTTTTCCAAAAACGTCATATTTTTAGATTGTTGAAATATTATAAAACTTTTCGAAAAAAAATTATTACTTTTAAAAAATACAGGGTGCTTTGCTAGATTCAAACGAATCCAGCAGAGCAACTCGGTTTTTTAAAACTTTTTCTAAAAACAACCACATTTTTAGGCTCTTGAAATATTATAAAACTTTACTAACAATTGCTATTTTTAAATAATACAGGGTGCTTTTTGGAATAAAATCAGCAGAATATTATAAAAAAAAAATAGTATTTTTTAAAAAATACAGACTGCTTTGCTACCTTCGAATGAAAACAGCAGAGCACATCGGTTTTTTTAAAGTTTTTTTTTTTTCTAAAAACAACCACATCACATTTTTAGGCTATTGTTTCACCAAAGCACCCTGTAATATTAAAAAATAGCAATTTTTTAGTAGGTTTATATTTTAAGAAAAATAGCCGAAAAATGTGGTGTGGTTGTTTTTAGAAAAAAAAAAACTTTAAAAAACTGAGGTGCTCTGCTGGACTCGTTTGAAGCTAGCAAAGCATCCTGTATTTTTTTTAAATAATTTTTTTTTGAAAAATTTTATATTTTAAGATCCTAAAAATATGTTTTTTTGGAAATGCTTAAAAAAATTGAGGTGCTTTGTTGACTTCGATCGAAGCTAACAGAGCACCTTGATTTTTGTAAAAAAACTAGGAGCATAGTTTTGAAAATGCCTAAAAAAATGTGACTTAAGTTTTAAGTCTAAATTCCGCAGGTGCTCTGCTGCCTTCTTTGGTATTAAAATGAGGTCTAATCTAATAAAATTTAAGAGCTTGGCAAAAACATACCAAACTAAATTACATCTATGCATTCATTTTATTTCATTGTTTTAAATTGCACTTCTTGGCTCTTTTAACCATCACAAAGAAATATAAAAAAGGCAAATATTTCCTCAAAAAAATAGCTAACTTTGGTAAAAGAGTAGAAATTACAATTTCTTTCTTTTTTTCTGCAACTGCCTTTACAATTTTCTTAGCTACATATTCAGGGGAATACCCATTTGTAGTAGTCTGGTCCATTTGTCCATAACTGGCACCAGATCCAGTTAAAGCATTTAATGATAAATTAGTTTTAATGTACCCAGGACTAACAACAGTTACAAACACATTATATGCAGATACTTCAGCTCTTAAACTGTCACTAAATGCTTGAAGTGCATGTTTTGAAGCACTATATGCCGATCTTTCTGGTAGGGCTACCAGACCTTGAACAGAACTAATAAACACTATGTGACCTTCTTTTCGCTTCACCATATCAGGTAAGGTTGCTGAAAATAATTGGGATAAAAATAATTTAACGATGATGATGCTAAAATAGTTTACCTTTAGTTAATGCAGTAGTCCCAAAATAATTTACCATCATAATTTTCATGTCAACATTTGTCTGAGTGGAAAGAACACTACCTCGATGAGATACACCACCATTGTTTATTAAAATATCTATTTTACCAGTAACTGCTATAATTTTTTTAACATTTTCTGCGAGACTATCAATATTACTTAAATCAAGAGGAAGTATTATAGGTGGATGTGTTTGTATTGTACTATGTGTGTGCAATAAGTCTGTTCTTACACGATCTAGTTCTTGTCTTCGTCTAGCACAAAGGACTACTTGGCAACCCTGTTTATAAAATTCATGAGCTAGAGCTTCTCCTAAGCCTGAGCTGGCTCCAGTTATTACAACCACCTTTAAAATGATATGTAATTTAGATGATGTAATATATATTAACAAAATAAACTTTACCTTTCCAAACAGCTCATTAAGACCTTTTTGTAAATATAGAGCTTTGCAAACTCGGAAAATTATCCATGGCAGAGAAATTGCAAGTGAAACGGAACCTACTAAACTCAAAGATTCGTAAAGTTTTTTAGCTTCACTCATTCTGTTTTTCAGAGTCAATCCCACTGTATGAAACATTGATTTTATTTCATTGTAATTATTAAAAATCTTAAACTATGACCCTTTTAACACAAATTGAAATCAAGTTTGGAACAGAGACAACTATGGACAATAGACATGGGTAACGCAGCGCTGCGTTGCGTTATTGCGTTAACGCAGCTGTATGCGTTACGAGCGTTGATAGTGACGTCTAGAATTTGAATTTGTTCAAGCCAGGTTGCCAAATCTCCACTTTCATTTTAGCTTGCTTTATTTCATAGTTTATTATTTAGACAAATTGTAACCTCTGTAAATTAAAATGTATGATAAATAAATATAAAGATTTATATTATATTTTGAAATAACAATTCTGTTTTGTTTTATAAGACAGTTTTGATAGATTTTAAATTTAAATTTTGTAATTATCACTATTGAAAGGTATTATTGACATTAAAAATAACAATCGTATTACTTGAAAATCTTTAGAATTTTTTTAATTTTATGAGATTTTTAATCAATGTAAAAATTGGTAAATAGATTATTAAAAGTAAAATAGTTATTTCAATCTGCTTATTCCCTGATTCCAAATAATTAAATATAACCTGGCAACTATGTAACGATTCCAACTGACAGAACTAGTCGGAACAGCAATGGTGCGGACTGGCGCATTTCCAGACCCTTCAACTACAACATTACCCATTTATTTTATACTTATACTGTGTATTTTCTGTTTCATGACATTTGGGGTTGCAAAGTAGTGTTGTGAATATCCGTATCTTTTTAGTATTCGGATAATACGTATTCGGAACCAAGAGATATTCGGATTCATCATCCGGATACGTATCCATATTCCTTGTGTGAAATCATAATACGCAACCGTAAATACACCGCGACCTTGGGAATCGGAACCGGGCAGTGTTGTTAACCCTAGCAGAATTTATGTTTGAGAGTGAAGTAATAGGAGCTTTTAATGTTTTAGAATAATAAACACAAGACAAATCTCAAATATTTTGTTTTTTATCATAATATCAGAAACAAAATTTCTCATTAACTGAATATTATTTATATAACTTCATGTTACCTTTGAAATATGCAGTGCATACCGACTAACCGATTATGAATTGCAACAACGCTAGACGATTCCGAATCCGAATTCCGATTTCGTATCGGCTGCCATCCGCAAAACCCGCAATCGGCTCTGTCATAACACAGAACATGCTGCATTCGATTCGTGTATTACGATTTTGTTTGTCCTTTTTGATGCCGAATTCGTATTCGAATTTACACTATTGATTCCGGAATATCCGGATCCTTTTAATATTCGGATTCAACAGATTTTCGGATACGTATTCTTACATCACTATTGCAAAGCTGTATCGTAGAAGAAGAAGAAGCAGACTAATAATATATGTTGGACTTCTTTTCGAGAAGGAAAGTTAGTACTTATTTATTTTATACTTATTGCTGTGTTTGAGAATCCACATCAGATGCATTTTTTACATCTCGAGCGTTTTTTTATCCACATACCTATATATAAAACGTTTATTTAGTCAAAAAATCCTTCCTCCATGGTCAGTGCAGAGTCACAGGCCTGTCACTCCCTATACTTCCCATGTTAAATTCTGGCTCAAATCTCAATGACCTCGGCACCTCTTCCCTATTGGTCTGGGGTATTTTTGACAAGTCTGGGGTCACCAATCAGCACGTTGGTTGCTGTCACATGGAGAAAAATGATATCGAAAAGTAAAAAATATTCAGATTTGAAGCCACTTGAAGACAAAATTAGTGTCGTTATTACAAAATTTATGTTTTTTTGGTTTTTAAAATAATATTGACGTCGATGCCTCCTCCTTATTGGTCTGGAGTATTTTTGACAAGTCTGGCCCCACCAATCGGAGCGTTGGTTACTGTCACATGAGAAAAATTACATTTAGAAAATTGATTAGTATTTTTGCAGTTTTTCACTGCATAAACCTTCATGATGTACTTTGTATTGAAAAAATACAGATCTATAACAAAATTAGATTATAAATAAATGTTTGAAGCAAAAGGAGAAATGATCAGAAAGCTAGGTTATATTTGCTGCGTTTGAGAATCCACATCGGATGCATTTTTTACATCTCGAGCGTTTTTTTATCCACATCGGACACATCTGTCCCATTACATTTACGTATACTGAATCACGTGATCAAAGATTTTTTACATCTCAGATGCATCCGATGTGGATTCTCAAACGCAGCAAACAGATTAGGTACATTTACCCGCGTAAAATATTTTAAATTTTCAAGGTCACAGACTTTCAGATCGATTGACATTTCAGCAGTGTTGCCAATTTAGCGATTTTGTAGCTAGATCTAGCGATTTCAGAAGTCTTGTTGCGACTTTGAATTCAAATTTGAGACGCGTCTCAATCCTAGCGTTTTCTCGCCAATATCTAGCTATTATCTGGTGACTTTTACATATCATGAATGATGATAATAATAATGAGCGTAGTAGTAGGTCATATTCTGGCATCAAAAAAGAGAAGATTAGTTAGTGGTTGCACAATCGAACATAAAAGTAAAAGACCTAAATTTTGAATTTTGACAATTTGACATTGTTGAGAGTTGAATTTGAAAATCCATAGCAACTAACTGATAGTCATTAAAACGATCATAACATTTTACATTCAATCTGGAATAAATACCTCTGTAAAAAAGTAAGTATATTTACCAACCACATGTAATGGTTATTTTAGGTATTTTTGTAGTGCCAAAATCTTACCCTCAAAAATACCGGAAAGAATGGGAGAAACTTAAAGATCTTGAGGGATGGTTAGAAAATAGTTCTCGTGATAATACAAAAGCAAACTGCAAATACTGCAAAGTTCTTCTTAACGCGAAGCTAGCTGATTTATATAAACATTCGAAAACTACTAAGCACATACAAAGTGCAAAGCCCTTTTCGACAAAACGACAACAAGTTTTGCCATTTGTACCGATCAGTGTTGTAACTAACCGACAAAGAAAAGAAGCACAATTGTGTCTCTATGCTGCTGTTCACACAAGCATAAATAGTGTAGATCATTTAAGTGATTTGCACAAGGAGTCCAGCGAAGGAATTAGTGTTCATCGAACCAAATGTACTCAAATTATTAAAAATATTATTGGCAAGCATTTTCAACAAATCCTAACACAAGATATTGGTACCAGTCCATACAGTATCATTATTGATGAGTCTACTGATATTTCAGTACTAAAAATATTGGGTATTGTTATCAGATATCAAAGTGATGACCTTAAGAAAACGGTATCCACATTTTTGGGACTTGTCAACATTGAAAATGGCACTGCGGCCTGTATTGTTTCAGCAATAAAGACATTATTGCAACAAGATTATGGTCTTGATTTGAAAAAATTACAAGGTATAGGTACTGATAATGCATCAACAATGGTGGGAATAAATAATGGTGTATTTGCCAAACTTAAAGAAGAAGTACCCCATTTAATTCTAGTTAGATGTGTATGCCATTCATTACAATTGGCACTATCTAAGGCAACAGAACATACATTACCGAGAAATACGGAATTCATAATTAAAGAAACATACAATTGGTTTGCTTCTTCTTCAATAAGGCAATTAGCATATCAAAATGTATATAAAACGCTTAATGATGGTAATATGCCATTACAGTTCCTTAAAATGTGTGAAACTAGATGGATTTCTATAGAACCTGCTGTTAAAAGAATAAAAGATCAATGGGAAACATTGAGGGATCATTTTAACATTGTTCGCTTAAGCGATAACTGCTATACTGCAGAGCTGTTACATTCAATGTACAATGATCCCAATAATTTAGTTTATTTAACATTTATATATCCTATTTTAAGCATTGTTCAAAAAACAAATAAGCAGTTTGAATCAGCTACGGCAGATCCAACAAAACTCTTATCCGATTTAAAAAATTTCTATGCCAGTATAGTAACTATGATAGTTAATCCTACAGCCAAAATAGACATTTATGATTTAAATGTTAATATTGATAATTATTTAGACCCTAATCCATATCTAGGATTTGTATTTGAAAATGCATGTCATATTAATGGTATCGGGATTGAAGACAAAGCTGTCTTAAAAGATAGATGTACAGCCTTTCTTATAAAGCTAGCAAAAGAGATGAGAAACAGACTTCCAGATAACCTAAAAACACTTGAAAAAATGAATTTTTTGTCAGTATTTAATGTCTTAAAATCAAATAAATTACCTATTACTGAATTGGCTTTAAAATTTACAAACAATGATTTTAATATAAATAATATTGAGATGCAGTGGGCGAATATACATACTATAGAATGGCAAGAAAAAAATAACACTGAAAAATTTTGGATAGAAGTTTCTATGTATAGAGATGCATCTGGGGAAAACCCTTTCCTCGATTTGGTTACACTAGCATTTAAAATTTTATGTTTGCCACATTCAAATGCTGACGTTGAAAGGGTTTTTAGCCAAATGAATATAGTTAAAGATAAATTGAGAAATCGAATGAAATTGGATCTCTTGAACAATATTCTCCACATTAGATTTGGACTTAGGCGTATAGGGAAATGCTGCAAGGATTACAATTTACCTGACGTAGTTTTGAGGCATATTGGCACAATGGCAGCGTATAGTGCTGAAGATGATAAAGAAAATATAGCTGATATAGAGAATATTCTTCTGTAAAATCATCATTTATTTTCTTGAGCGGGATTTGCCAAATATTTATTTTGTTACCATGCATGTCGTTATGATTATTTATTAGTTATAGGTAGCTCAGGTACCGATAATTTAAGAGATATTGTTCTTTATCCTGTGATATTACTCAATTTATTTGCAGCTAGCTTATCTTTGAAGAAACATATTTTTATATTACAAAATGTACCTACGTGGATTTAATTAGGAAGAATTAATTTATTTATTTATTGAATAGAAATTATTTTGTTTTTAGAAGAGTTGTATTTTTGTTTTTTAGATATTTATTGAAAAATATGCACGTGTATTAAATATATATGTGTATTTAATAAATATACACGTTATATTTTTTTAAAAAGTTCCTTTATTTTGTACCTAACTTTATTATGAATAAAAAAAAAAAATAGGAGAACTTTCTTTTTTTTATCAAAGTGAATTTTTCGTAGTCACACGCAAAAGTCGCCAGATTTTCAAAAAAGTCGCCAAATTTT